TCTATTTTTTTCTAATTTGTGACAACCCTTGCGTATTGCGTAATCTGCGTGTGACAGCGTAGTGCCTATATAGGCGCTGACGTCGCCGAACATCAAAGGCGGGGAAGATGTTGAAATACTGTGGCAAAATCGGTGGACGGCACAAACTACCGGAGATTTATGCTCAACGATGAACTCGGGCTGTGGTATTAGTACCATCAGGAATATGGACGGATTTATTTGTTACATGGTTACGATCCCTACAGGATACTTACGTATATACCTAAGTATAGAAGATAGCTTACATTAAATTTGAATTAGCTTAATTACGCAAATTTTCAACAAAGTCGAAAACAGCTTTAATAGGTAACCTGATACGTTCTGTAGATTATTATTTTCGGTGGCACCACCACGAATTTACATTAACAGTTCTTGTCAGTTCGTTCTCTAAGAACAAAATTAGTTGATAACTTTTTTTCGCATATACATAATTTTGTTTCCTGTAGTTCCTGTAGTTTTAGGGTAATTCCATAGCGTACATAACACCCGTTATTTTGACTAAAGGTTGAATTTAGAAATTCTGCCGGCTAATTGAATTGTGCGAAAGACAGTCTTTCGACAAACAGATTCTGTCTTTCAGGTTCAGTTACTATTTAAACCCCTGTTTGTACTAATGGTTTGTCAAAGTTTAAGTCTGCTTATAATCTTATAGCTTATAATCTGAGAAACTTTTTTTTGAGAAACAATTTTATCATTTAATTCACTATGTGTACTAGTATTTATCAAACTCTTGATAGTTTTGTCATTTAAACATTGTTTCTACAGATTATTTGTCAAATTAAGATAGCATACTACTATATGTATACTGCGCATAAAACCTGTTGCAATACAGATGTCGACCACCTTTGCAAGTGCCGTTTGCGAGTAGTAATTATAGGCAAAATACGTACATGGTGCGTGCATTGAGACTTTTTATTAACAATGCGACAATAAATCACTCTGAATTTGATTTGTTTTGTGTAAGCATAGACACAACGTTACTTTGACACATCACGTAATTGGCGATGATTACACTGGTTTGTTTTGTAATAATTGTCCATTATTATTGTTTTTTTTTTGTGTAACTGTGTTCTTTGTATTCTCATATAATCTCTTTTTGACTTGCTAAGTGTTATAAACTGTTTCATGTTGGCGGAAATCCGTAAATGGTATTGGATTATTCATAGTTAAGTATACTATAATTGTATTATTTGTCCGTGAATTTTCCTATAATGTATAAATAAATAAATACTACGTTTACAGGTTGTGCGAAATTTTTCGTAAGTAGGTGCAAAAAAACGGCTGTCGTATATATCGAAATTATTTGAACATTTTTATGGTCAATTTCATAATTTTGATTCGAAAACGAAATTGATAAAAAAAACATTGGTGTTTAAAAAAGTAATTAAAAAACTTGATTTTCATTAATTAGCAAAAACGTGCTTGATCTCTAGACACTTTTGATATCTGTATATAATGATGGTAGAGAATTATACAGTTGCCTTGATATTTAAATTAACTATAGATATTCAATGAAAAAGTGCGTCTAAAAATATTTGCCATACAAATACTTCACAAAAACGGAATTCAATCTATTTGTATATTTTTCGTAACATTCTAACAGTTTTTGGGTCAAGTCAATGTTTGCTTCTAGAATCGTATCAAATCGAATCGTTTCTTTCTTTTCGAAGTGTTTATTTTTCACAGTTTTTTTCATCCCATTGAAAAACTGGGATTAGAGCTTTTGATAATTGAAACTCAAGTAGAAACAACGACGTTTTGGTAATTAAAACAGATTAACGGATCTGCTGAGTGGACAAAAAATCCTTTTTCTCACACATGCTGGGAAACGTTTGCATTATTTTTAATTAAAAAACCATTGACTTACAATTATATGGACGTCGGGTCCGCGCTAAAAAGTGTCCGCACTTGTAAGGCGCTAAAATCATATACAGAGCGCCAAACTCCGCTTTAGTCTTCATTTGTTCTACTGACAGCGCGATACTGCGATGACATTACAATTTAAATTTCGAATAGGTTGACTTGGGACATTTTTTTCGTGGTTTTTGTACTAGACCCGTCGTCCATTTATTTGTAAGTCAATGTAAAAAACGTTAAAAAATGAACACGGAAAGTTTGTCCTTTACGGACCGTGCGACTTCTTCCCGGTCAAGGCCGCAAAGTAAGTATGAAAATCCATTACTGTCCACTTCTATAAACTTTTAAATCTACTTACTAATAATGAACTATGTAAACAGGCAAAAGATAAAGTCATACAGCCAACTGCCGAGTGTTTATAGTTGCGAGAATTAAAAATATCCACGTATACCGCTTACTTTAAAAAAATGGCGGTAACACTTAAGCTAAAGTGTTTTAGTATTCTTTTGGTTTTTCGTCTTTTTTGTATTTTGGTCGCGAGAAGGAGTCGTTTCTATATTATTTCTATTCAATTTCTTCTTGTCCTTAGTCTTTTATTATTTCCTCACATTGTTTGAGAAAAATTGTATATATGCCTCGGCGCCGGGAACGGGGATTGCTACAAGACCTCGCTGTCGCTCGTCCTTGTAACTCATACTCGTCCAGCAATCCCTTACTTTTCGGCCTCTGCAATAATGTACTGTTTTTCTGATATTTTGTTGATTAAAGGGTTTCTGTTCTTGAACACAAAAATGTGTTTCTATAGGTACCGAAAAGTCGTGCGCCTGGTGGTAAGCGACACGCCTGTCCATAACAGTTGCAGTGCCACCCAGAGCTTTAAATCACAAAAGCCTGTGAGGCACCGCCGCTGCGCCCATCATCTTGAGACATAAGTTAAGAAGTCCCATGTGCCTGTAATTTTACCAGCACCCTTACCCTTCAAAATCGTAAAGCGTTGATGCCCACATTGCTGCTTCTAAACTTTTTCACTCATCACAAATTTATTATGTTTTGTAAGAAGTCACAGGACAGAGTTGTTTTTCGTGATGTTAGTATAATATAATCCTAAATAATATAATCCTGCAAGATTGTTAGTATTTTATAAACAATCCTTTAAAGAGGGTGTAGATTTTAAGCTACCGGTTAAATACTTGAGACTGGTGTAGTTCCCAGGTCGTGGAAGCTTGCAAACGTGCAACCTGTACCAAAAAAGGGAAGCAGAGCTGACCCTGTCAACTATAGACCTATCTCAGTCACTTCCATACTCTGCAAGACTATGGAACGTGTACTCAACAACCGTCTCCTATCGTACCTTGAAGACAACGATCTCCTCAGTGATCGCCAGTACGGATTCCGACGAGGGCGATCTACTGGGGATCTTCTTGTGTATGCCTGTCACATATGGAGCGAGGCTATAGAAAAGCAAGGCGAAGCACTTGCAGTGTCTTTGGACATTTCTAAAGCCTTTGACAGGGTCTGGCACGCAAGCCTTTTAAGCAAGCTTCCCTCTTATGGGCTTCCCACTGACCTTTGCAATTGGATCTCGGATTTCTTGAGCGAACGTTCGATTCGAGTGGTCTTAGAAGGCTACTCTTCCGAACATATGGCGATAGATGCCGGAGTTCCTCAGGGTTCCGTACTGTCTGCAACTCTCTTTCTGCTGCATATCAATGATATGTTAATTCCAGGTACCTTTGCGTATGCTGATGACAGCACAGTTGTAGATAGGTACTTGACCAATGCAAGGGTCAGTGGAGAGGAAATCCAGTCTTGTCGAGAGTCCATGGTTAGCCGTTTAGATTTGACACTCCAGGCAGTCTCCGATTGGGGCAATGCCAATCTTGTCAAATTTAACGCTACCAAAACGCAGGCGTGTCTATTCTCCACAAAACGGAGTCCCTTTGAGCTGACTCCGACTTTTCGTGATATATCCATACCGATAGCCGATTGTCTCCAGCTACTTGGAATGGACCTGTCGTCCAATTTGAACTTCGGCAGATACATTGAATCCACGGCCAAAAATGCAGCAAGGAAGCTTGGGATCCTTTCCAGGGTGAGGCGGTACTTTACACCGGGACAGTTGCTCCAGCTGTACCAAGCACAAGTCCGATCGTGCATGGAGTACTGCTGCCACCTTTGGGATGGCTCTGCGACATATCAACTGGCCACTTTGGATTCAATTGACAACCGTGCCAAGAGGCTTATAGGTGACTCGGAATTAGTGGAGGCGAAGCTGCAGAGCCTTGAACACCGCCGTAAAGTTGCCTGCTTATCGGTATTTTACAGGATATATCACGGAGAGTGTGCGATGGAATTACATGATTTAATTCCGCCTTCCCCTTTCCATCACCGGGGGACTAGGCGTAGGCTTGGGTTCCACCCCTATGTTGTGGATATTCCAAAGATTCGCACGAAGCGTTACGCTTCCACATTTATATGGCGAACGGCTATGGAGTGGAATTCCCTGCCTGCAGACTTGTTCCCTGAACGTTATAACTTGGACCTTTTCAAGGCGAGAGTGAATAGGCATTATTTAGGTGTGCATGCTCCATCGTCGACCTCATCGTCACTTTCCATCAGGTGAGATGGAGGTCAAATGCGCACCTATATTTTATAAAAAAAAAAAAAAAAAAAAAATGCGCTATGTCAAATAAATTTATTATCGGAGCTAAGTAGCCACTCAATTTGTCAGTGCTTCGTTTATCTTAATCCTGGATTTGTCACACTGTGACCACGTGTAAAGGGGCTTAGAAGTGACGGTATTGTACTGAAAATAACATACACCATGTTACGTTAACATTGACGTGTATTATTACATAATGTTTGTACAATTTTTTATGATGTAACTTGTTTATTAAAACTATAATCCCATACTTAGTCCAATGGGACTAGGGGGAAATAAAATTACTCGTGTGGTTCATTAATGGGACCGAGCAAGGGTACCAGAGGTAAAAGGAGCGAATGGATTAATTGTATAGAATTTGGTGGATTGAGAGTTTATGTTCTAAATAGTACTGGTTAGTAATTACTGAAAAAAGACGTAATTAAAACAGGTAAAATCTAACCTCATAACATTGTGATGCGCGAACGCACTGAGGGCGTGTTGCGGCGAGTGCGGCGGCAGCACGGCTGGTAGAATTGGTCGGCCGGGGCCCTGCAGCACGCGGATGCCCATGCGCACCGTATTCCTGCGCGAAATCTTCTCATCGGCTCGTTCAGCTATGAAAAATGATGACAAATGTCTCACTTTATGACAATAGTTATTTTTGATACAAGTGCGGAAAGTTAGTCATTATTCAAGAGTCTCGAGGCTTCTTGGCCCGAGCCAGAGGCGAGGTTTAAGACTCGAGACAAGTGAAAATGACAAATCCGCACGTGTATCAAACGACGTTTTTTAATACATTTGCGGAAAAACTACATTGAAAGTAAAATAAAACAGTATATTTTAGTGGCGCGGCGCGCAGCGGTCTCGCGTTATATTCACCTCCGGTCATTGTTAATAATCAATCAGCCATCTTTATGGAAAATATTTTGGTATTTTTAAATGTAATTCGTTGTTTTATAAAACATCTATGCAATTTAAACAAATAAGATGTTTGTAAGTAAATATAAGTTTTAATGACGAATAACTTACGTCACAAAGCACATAAATATTAAATAAATATACAACCTCTTTAGTTCTATGTTTAAGACTTGAAACAACAGTAAATTTAAAAAAAATGGAAAATTAAAAATCACTAGTGCGAAAAATTCTACTTTCGGCACGATTTGTAGTACGGAAAATACCACGTTTTGAGCAACTGTATTAAAAATATGTTTTATTAAATACAAGTGACCAATAAATAAGTCTTTGTTAAGTGTGAAACGCGCACCCGTCTCGCACCCGCGGGTGGTGTGTTGTCGTCCATATAAATATAAAAAATAATAATAAAAATCTTTATTTCAGACCATAAGTCCATAAGTGTTAGTATCATATAAAAAGAAAATCTTAAGCACTATTGTTAGTAAAAAATAAAAATGTACAAATAAAATAACAAACTAAACTAAAAAACCTCCAACGTTAGACATGTAGTGACGACCACCGGGCGACCATTGGTCCGTCCCAGTGGTCGGCGAACGCGGACAGGATGGTGTTGGGGCTGGCACGGATGCGGGCTTCGAGGGAGGCGCACCTCTTCCTCATGACAGCCGCAAAGCCGTCCGTCCGCGCCTCGGCAAACATGCCGGACGCGCTGCACCTCCGCGGCAGCCCCAACAACACCCGGAACGCGTTGTTATACTGTACGCGGAGTACGTCGTACGCCTTCTGCGTATAGTTCACCCACAGGGCGCACGAGTAAAAGGAGACGCAAAACGCTTTGAAGAGCGTTATTTTTACGTCCCTCGTACACCGCGCGAACCTGCGGGCCAACATATTGCATCGGACTGCCAACGATCTCCGCTCCCGCTCGATGTCTTCGTTGTCACAGAGGTTTTCGGTGACCCAGTGACCCAAGTACTTAAATTTGGTGACTGTCTTCAAAGGAGCGCCAGAGAGAGTGAGTGGTGGTACATTATAAGTTTTCGTACCAGCCTTAAAAACCATCAGCTCACTTTTACTAACATTGTACTTGAGTCCATGGACCACCGCATACCGTTCACAAATCTGCAAAAGACGCTTGAGAGCACCGATCGAGGGGCTCAACAAAACCATATCGTCTGCGTAGCTGATGTTATTCACGCAAATGCCATCAACGTGACACCCAATTTTAGTTTTGTTGAGCTCCTCGATCAGCTCATTCATATAAAAGTTGAAGAGCCGAGGTGAGGTTAACCCCCCCTGCCTCACTCCGCACTCCAACCCGTACTCGCCTGAAAACGAACCGGACCATCTCACACTGTTTTTCTGGTGGCTGTACCAAAACCTTAAGAGGGATGTGATCTCATAAGGCATGGTCGACTGTTGTTCGATCTTATCCCACAGCACGTCATAAGATACTAGATCGAACGCTCTGGACAAGTCGAGGTAGCACGCGAAAACCGGTGTTCTTCCAGCTGTATAGTACTGGACAGTGCGCTTCAGGCACATGATGGCACTCTCCGTAGACAATCCAGACCTGAAGCCAAACTGCGCGTCATTCAAACGGAGGTGCCCCTTCAAATAACCATCCAGCACACTGTCCAGCACCTTGGCTACAATGGTTGCTAATGAAATCGGCCTATAGTTGGACAGCTCAGAAAAATCACCGGTCTTATTCTTCACAATTGGGACCACAACAGTACGCATGAGATCGTCCGGTAAGTAACAGTGGCCCATACACAGGGTGTAAAACATTGAAAGAACCCTGGGCAAGTGAACACCTGCATGCAGCAGATGTTCAATGCTGAGACCATCGTGCCCCGGTGACTTACCCCTAACCATGGTTTTTATTATAGAAGCCACCTGTTTTGCAGTTATAGTTAAGGTAGTCTCAGATATGGCCCCAGCATTAAACACCCGCGCAGAAGGTCCCAACGGGGAAACCACTTTGAAATGACTCTGGAAGAGGTCGGCTATATCCTTAGGGTCTTGAACACCCGCGATAGTCGCGGGGGCACTCGTTTTGTGATTTAATTTATTTACAGCTTTCCAAAAGGGTCCAAAGCTTTTACTGCAATGATGTTGAGCAATTATATCATTCTTAATTTGCTGTTCGTGGTTTTGACACCATTTTAATTTAGCCTTAAACTGCTTCCTAGATTGGTACATCTCATCATAAAAATAACCCGATGAAGGTTTACCGTGAAGAACCCAGTCTTGGAAACATAACCTAGCTCTCCCATGAGCCCCACTGACATATCGGTTCCACCCCGTCACATAGTGCTTCTTTTTATTATTTCTTACATGAAAACAGGTCACCGCAGCCTCCGTTAAGATACCAATAATATCCTGATACAACCGTTGCAAAACTTGAAAATGATCATTATTGTTGCATATTTTATTACAACATTTACTAAGCTCATGAGGGAAATCTATTAGCTTTAACCTAGAGTTACAAAAATCGTGGTACTTTGATATCTGAGCAGAGTCACGGTCACCCCACATAATCTTATTATTATTACAAACAGATTTTAAAATATTAGGCTTAATTAAATTAATATTACAATGCACTACAATGGGGAAATGGTCAGACCAGTACGAATCATACAAAATCGACGTACTTACAACAGTTTGCCTCGCAGCACCAGTTCCAATACAGTGGTCGAGCCACCGCCGGCAGCCATGCGCCTCGCTCACATATGTGTATGAGTCAGAGGGCAAGAGTTCCAAATCAATACAAGACCAACACTGATCCGCACAAAACTGTGTAAGTTCTACAGCAAACGGCTCCCCTGGATGGGAGTTGAAGTCACCTAATAAAAACACCGTTTCGATTTCCTGACTCTCAATTACCGCACTAATCTCCGCAAGACAATCCGTGAAATCGACCATGTTGTCACTACAGTCTGTCGGCATGTACACGGAAAATATCAATAATGCGCGATCCTGCAACGCTACCTTAATAGCAGCCAACCGAGCATTTTTACACTCAACCACAGATACTACGGCGGATATGTCTCTCCTCCACAATAGCGCTACCCCACCATAAGGCCGTCCTCGGAGTACACCTGCAGATGTATCCACAGCAGAGGTCCCCGTGAAAGCGAAACGATCATCGATGCTTCCCAAATAGGCCAAATCGTGCGGCAGCAGCCAGGTCTCCTGCAGCGCGATGACATCAGCTACTTTACATAGTTTTCTTACACACTCAACTGATCTAGCTATATTTTTACAATTAAAAGTCAAAAGTCGCATACTGGTCATGAGATATTAATAATCACGAAAGTTCTCTCCAATTAGTCATCGTTATCAGGCCCTTTGTACTTAAAATTGACAAAACGCCTATACGCTATTCCATCCGGCCAGAACTCTTCTGACATAAACAAGCTCAACTTATGTTTAGGTACAAATATTTTGTACGAGTCATAGTCCTTAGGCCGCTTCATGTTCATTTTTTCTATTGTTACGCATAAGCTAGTTTTGCGCTGAATGTATCTATTGATCTGACACACTGTCACTTCCTTTGATACATTATAAATATAAATTGGAATTTTCACTTCAGCGGCCTTAAAACGACCTTCCGCATCGGTAGCACTACCTCTATTTCCCACAAAGCGGTTTCTCAATTTTCTTTTTTGATAAACAATCCATTCATCATTTTTTTCTGGCTTCTTCCACTCGCCTTCGCGCACAATATCTGCTAGCGTTCTTTGTTTACGTTCACTCTCGCCGACAGCGCGGGCGGCCGCGCGACTCCGCTCCAACGCCGACGTAATATTCGGAGCGGGCGCAGGAACACGAGCCGGCATACGTGCCGGCGCAGGCGACGGCGGCCGCTGAGGCGGGGTCGTTGCCCGCGCCGGCTCACGCGCCGGCACACGCGCCGACGCGGGCGACGGCGGCGGCAGCTGAGGCGGGGGCCGCTCGGTCGTTGGCGATGACGAGTGTGTCATTACCAAGCTATCGCACGGACTCGAGCAAACTACCGACACGTTACTATTTTTATCAATTTCTATGGAATTATTGATGTTATTCTTGCTAAATGATGAATATAAATGATGATTCCCGTTGTCAAGTGCAGTTTGTGAGTGTATAATATTTCTGTACATAGTCTCGGAGCCATCGGGCGATTTATTACCCTCAGCGGTCACAATATTTTCCGACACATTATGAAGTAAACCCATGGGACCGCTGTTATACTCATAACCATCACGGAAAGCAGCACCACGCTTGGTATTTACTCTCTGAACATTTGTATCATTCACATTAACCAGTGAGGTCAGTTTTAACGCATCCAAGTCCAACGCTAGCATAGTTAATTGCTCCTTTGTAGCGAATTGTTCGTTAATTTTGTGGACATCCTGTTGTAGCTTTAAAATATCCTTTAGAAGCCTAGTCGTGTCGACGTGATCAAAATAAACCGGGGGCAATCTGTGCAAGTCCCTGGCAACAAATATTGGAAAAGATTCAGGGTTACCTTCCTTCATTAAAGTCACTATATCATCGATATCACGCCGGGTCTTGCCAGTTCCTTTTCTTATTTTCTTACGCCTTGCAGACGGTATAGAATCAAACAACAGATCCTTAGCGGTTTTAATTTCCAGCTCCGTGAATGCACTAGTGCAGATTTGGGAGATTCCATCTTCCTTCATAACATCTATTTTGTTATTGACAAAAGTCAGTAATTCGTTTATTACCACGTTACAGCTTGCACATTTCACTAAATTTGACGTCATTTTATCACTGATTATTACTCGATTACACGTCCAACCGCGAGGGCGCGCGGGACGAGACCATATAAATACAACACACAAAATTAGACCCGCTGTGCACCCGACCCGATACGCACCCGTTCTCTGTGTATTTCCCGCTTTAAGTAACACAGTGATTTATGTTTGAATAAAACATGCATGTATTTGCCCAGCACTCGTAATAAAAATATGAAGAAATAGAAGAGAAAGTTTTAGTCAGACCGAAAGAAAGAGGGCAACAAGAATGAATGAATGAATGAAATATTCTTTAATAACAGTGCGCATAGAAAAGAATGAGCATGAAGCTTTACTATTGCTTTTATAGGACTCCTAATTGGGATTACCAGCGAAGTCTCGCTAGCTTTTAGAGTAATTTAGAGCTGGTACTGATGATAGTTGGTACTTCCAAATCACACTATTTAAAAATATTCGTGGTGAAGACAGCGTAGAAATAAGTTGACATGTCACATGTGCCTATGTTTTTTTTGCACACACTCACATCCCCGCACTTGGGAAACTCTGTATAGCGGATGTTAAGGACACACACATAGACTACCACAAATTACATTCAAACTCGCGAGAGAACTAAATGTAGGCGATACAAATATTTCTTTCGGCCCGGGACCTCTGCGTGGTAGACCAGCATAGTAACTATTCGGCCAAAGAGGCACGCTTAACTTTCAATAGTATATACAATACTTACCAATATAAGCTCTAACGTCATATGAAGTACCAATTGGAGCTCCGTGGTACTGCTTAGCTGGTACGAGCTGGACGCTAGGTGGCGCTAACGGAGTCAACTCCAAGTGGAATGGATACGCGTTGGAGCCTAGCCGCTTTATTAACGCCTCCTGGGAAAGATATTTTTCAATTACTGAAAGAAACTCATTGGATTACCTTTTCAATTATTATTACAATAAAAAGTTAAAACAAAAATTAAATAAAAAGTTTAAAATAAAAATTAAATTAAGCCAGATGGGGTATTCAAGGGCTGGTTACCATGTCGACGTATTTGTACAGCTATGCATAAGGCAAACGCTGTCAGTATTTTGATCACTCTGACGTGGAAAGCAAGTCAAATTAGCTTAATCTAGCTAATTGATAATTGAGTTGTTCATGTAGGTTATGCAATAAATTTATGCCCACGGACTTTTTCAACACATTATCGCCCTATGGATTTTTTATGTCAAGATTAAGCAAAAGTTTTGGGCTCGAAAAATCTGAACGTATATTTTGCATAAATTTGAAGCATAAAAAAAAATAAACATTTGCAATTTAACTATATTATATTAAATTTATTTTGTGAATTCAATTTCTACAGTATTTTTAGAATTTGGAAATTGTTTATTTTATATCGGATACATTGTGGCTGCATGCGTCTGTGACTTCTATAACATTTTAGTTCGAGTTGTATTATCTATGGAAGAACAGCTAGCAATCTGTTAAAAAAAATATAAAAAACCCGCCATTTGCAAAGTCAGTAAATGTTGTGTTGTGAAGCGATGTTTATTATATACAAGAAACAAATAATCGTTGTATCTGTTTCCTCGCAAACGTGATGAAAAACATTGTATGTCGTGCTACATTTTGCGGTAAGTCATTAAGCCTAAGAAAGTCTCGTTAATAATGTTATTTACCGCCCATAACGCACAATGCACTATTACTTTAACTTTATCTAACCTCACGACGATAATCACGACTAAGTGGTTAATAGTACGTTTTTCGGGATTTTAAAATCGTTGAAACATTTTACCAAACGTACCTTTGGTTTAATAACGCTACATGTAGTCATACGTAAAAAGTGCTTTTATCTCATGGAAATCATAAAAATAACACTAATTTCATTAAACAAAATATTATGCATGTGAAATTTTATAACTTTCCTTGTTTAAGCATAAAAAAATTACGCTTTTACGTTTATATGGCGTGAAATTCCCTGCGTGCAGATTTATTCCCCGAACGCTATAACTTAGGCCTTTTCAAGGCGAGAGTGAATATAGACATTATTTAGGTGTGCATGCTCAATGGTCGACCTCACCATCACTTTTCATCAAGTGAAATGGAGGTCATATGCACGCTTATTCTCGTACTAATAACTTCGTACAATATTTAAATCCTCTCCTCAAAACTTATGATTTTGTAAATATGACCTCATTACACCAAAGGTGCGATGTTAGGATTATATTCTTTTGGGATGTTAAAAAGCTGTTACGTAGCATTTTTATTTACTTTCTCATAATGTAATAATGCGGGAGCATACCCTACTAAATAAAAAATTCACTCAAGTAACATTCCAAATTCGACCCGACCGTGCCTCACTTCACTCTCATTCGTTTCATTGTTATGTAAAATACACAGCCTAAACGTCTAGTCGCCAACATTTTCTCCTTAAAACGCTAATGTCGTCTTCTTTACGGCTGCCTGGGGTACAAACTTTATAATCTATGGCCGCAAAACTGAAATTGCTGCTGTTTTATTCATGTTTTGTAGCGTACGAAATTTTAAAATTTAATTACAATTTTGTGGAAAGCAATTACGTGTGTTTTGGGAATAGTCGGAAAGATAGAAAAATAATCTTTAGAAGGCTGTTTTAGTGAATTTATATGAATAAGATATTAGTAAACTCCTTACCACCTGTACACAATGTCTTCTAAGCACAAATTCAAAGCACTATATACCGGCAACATCTACTCTCGCTACAAAAACCAGTCTAGTTTATTTAAATTTCACTATCATTTTTCTTATCCTCACGTACTCTTTTTCTTGGCCTTTTTAAAATTTTTACTTTGATTTATTACACTAAAACATATTATGCACAATCACATGTTTTAGTGTAATAAATTATTTACTAATATAAAGATTATTTGACTTTGTCTAACAGTAATCACGACTAACGCTCAACTCACTGGCGCAGAGTCGAAGCGTCGCGACGCGTCATGTTTTTGCGCTAGTGTGTGTTGAGCCTAAGTTACTAATGATATGTTTTTCTGGATTTTAATACCGTTGAAACATGACATACCGTATCCTTGGTCACATGTGATCACATGTCAGAAGTTGTTTATCATATGAAGTCAATAAAAAAAATTAACTACATAAAGCAAGTTATGCACCTATGTATATGCGAAATTTTATGTTCTATTTGGGTATACAAAAGTTATTTAGATTTTCAGCTCATTTTTTTGCCATTTTGATGATATTAGGCGAAGTGGACATTCACACTAAACAAACATAACTATTTAATCAGACAACACAATTTTTTTAAGGTCGAACAGTGTTAGTAACTTACAAATATAACTTAAAGATTAGGTTAGTGGTAATTTTATAATAGTTGCACAAAAATTTAATTATAAAAAGTGGCAGCCGACTCTCAGAACTCTCACCCGCATCCAGACCTTATGTTTTTCTGTGAAACTATTCAATCAGGACAGGAAGATTTCATAATGGGTAGGTCATTTCTATCAGGCATGACCTGTAAAATGGTGTTGGTGCTGCTCCTCGGTCTACTAATAATGGCATTGAAACCATCAACCCGCGCCTCTGTAAACACAGTAGAAGCATTGCAAAAGCGGGGCTACCTCATCAACGTTCTAAACCCATTATTGTATGTGACTCGTACGGCACTAAGCGATTTGTTAGTATAACTGAATCACAGGTTGCTCGTGTAGAACGATTGGCAGTAGGCTTTGAAAAGTGTAATTTTTACTTGCTTACTACATCGACCGAACCTGCGTGCCAGCTTATTACTTCTGAATTGCCAGTCCCTTATGTTGCCTCTCTATATCATTATGCAGTCCATAAGCAATGAAACTCTCGTATTTGAACCTTCGAAATGTAATTAAACAATTTTGTGTAGTTTAGTGTATTTGTAATTCCAAAGTTACATATATTAACATTCAGTGGTTAAATGTTAGTCCAGTTTGTACAAAATTACTCTCTCAATTTACTACAGTCGTCACAGAGAGGGTTTAGCGAAATTAATTCTATATGGTTTAAGCCCTTCCCTCGGGGTGTGTTTGCTTGGTCAATCTAAAGTTTCGTTCCGGGGCGATATTTTAGGATACGTACGCTACAGAGAGTATAGAGAGAGGTATAGAGTTGTGAGTGTACTTTGACAGGTCATTAGAGACGCTTCATTTATATCCCATCGACCGGAATCGCCCCGCCCAAAATCCTCAGAGGTTGCTGGTGCCAAAGATACAGCTAAGAGATAGAATCCGAAATAGTTTCTTTACCCAGTACATTTCAGTGCCTCAAAGGATCAAAGTAAAGGGTGACAACAACCGTTGGTGTCTTTGGTATTATTTCCTTCCCTCGCGTGCGCTGAAGCACACGCGTGAATGAATATTGGGCGGGAGAAATATAAGATATCGGAAGCCATTGATTCGCTAAGAAGATTATCGAAGCATCGAGCAAGATATAACTAATAATTCTATGGACAGTATAAGTCGATTCCTTTAAAATTTGTTTTATCCTGACTTTACAATTTTATAACTTGAAGAACAAAGAAAAGTGAATGGGTTGTGTCGAAGTTGATATGTTTATAAAGGAACAACGAAATAACAAGTGCATGGTAAAAGACAACACACTGAACAGACCTCAAATAATGAATAAGGACGATGATGACACGGCGTACGCCGATCTAGAAATTTGGAACAGGTATCCTACGTGAATGAAGTTATGGCATTGTAAGTTGAGACATAGCCCATAAACAAATATAAGAAAGAAATCCATTTAATATGCAAATATGTGACGACCTTGGTGACCCAATGGTACCCACCCACCCAACGTTTCGGCTTCGATTTGGGTGACCAATTTGGGAAATTAATTTTTTAATCGGTTCTAGTCTCTGTGCTCTGGTACTCATTGTGCAGGGAATTTGAGATCCTATAATTAGTGTTGTTGTCTGGCACATTATTATCATTACGTATATTTATTTTAGATTCGCCCTTTAAAAATTAAAAGTTAATCTAAAATATTAATTTTAAATTTTTAAATGAAAGATTAAGGTGCATGTGTAACATTATTATCATTATCCTTTTTTATTATTTGAGGTTCAGGTCAGGTGTCCTGTCTTTTCACCCGTCATGCCACTGCGGCCGTCAACCTGAGACATTAGTTGACAAGTCCCATGTGCTTGTGATTTCACCAGCACCCTTACCTTATACTTACTTCAAAACCGGAACGCAGTAATGCTGACATTACTGGTTGGCGGCAGAAATAGATAAGGTGGCAGTACTTTCTTGGACAAACTCTTTCACAAGGAGCTCTATTGCTATATCTACTGCTACTGAAACTTCTATGGGTAAGTCGTCCTGTTCACATCGAACTTTAGAATTAACGCTCTGGACTAGGAGATGCACGAATGGTGCTTCCCCGCACGACGTACCATTTCTTTCCCGTACATCTGGCGCGCTATACGCGTAGACGCGTTATAAAATAAAATAAAAATAACTTTACTTCAGTCAGATTTCTGAAGGTGGTCCATACAAAAGGGTTAGTAAAACAAAATTTAAATCTTAAGGAACTAAGTGTTAGAATACAAAAAAATCCAAATGAAAAAATAAAAATATAAAATCAGAAACATTAACATATTCATATTGTAACGTTTATTATTAAAGTCTATGCCATGGATACGATAAGAAGAAAGGTTATCCGCGGAATTTCTGAATTCTGTGGAGATATCCTAACTTGACACTTGGCGCAGCTCTCAAATAAGTGGGTATTGCTTTTGTTACCTATTCATATTACGAAGGTTTTAGGTACAGTCAGAAAGAAAGTAAACACACCTAAAAACACACCACACAAGAAAAAAATAAATAAAAGGAAACAACATAGAAAAAAAAGAAAAATA